ATTATGGGGATTGTGTTGCCGCTAATAATTAGCAGCCACCCCGGAAAAGGCACGGCACCAGCTGCCGTATCACCCACGCTCAAGCACCTTGTGAACACCGCGCAGCTCACGCTAACAGCAGTGGCGTCAGAGGCACACTATTCATCACCAGACAATCGGTACCAGCAGACGCATGGCTCGACCATCGCCACCAGACCCTATCGAACTACCAACCCTGCCACCGACACAACCCCCTCCCCCGCCCTCCGACAGTACCAGCCTCGCACTGTCCATCGAACTACCTAGGGAGGCAGGGGGTCTTGGGGGGCAGACGGGGGTACCTTCGAAAGGAGGCCGACGCGGCTACTTACCGACTTACCCCGGGCGCGTCGCTATGACGCTGAGTAACAACAGAATTCCAGGGCGGCGCTGGGCGGTCAGCGTGCTGGCTGGAGCCCTGAGGGTCGGCAGCTTCACAAAGAGGTCCGAACAGTTACTGGAGGGGGCACAGGTAAGACAAGTGGGATTCAAAGGACCATGGACGTATGTATGTAATTACCGAGGCATACAGAGGTCTGTGCATGGACATCTGTGTAGTGTGTTGTATTCTCTGCGTGAAAGTTGAGTTGAGGGTGCCTATGCTTCTTCTTCCGTTGTCATGGGTGGAGACTTCCACTTCGCGTCTAGCTGGACGCGTCAAAGTCTTAGACGCGTCTAGCTGGACGGCGGCTGAGTCTATCTGACGACTGATAATTTTAGACGTGTCTAGCTTGGAAGTCTCCGTCCAACAGTTAGACGCCAAGTTAAAAAACAATATTAAATCTTAAAATTACAAATGCTATTACAGTGTTAAATACAAATATTACAATAACAATTTAAAAATACAAATTGAAAAAAATACGAAGAGTTGTTACAGAAACTAAACACCTGTGAACCCCTGTTCTCTGAACCCCTGTTGTTAACTCTCGCCCCGTTGGGGGGGGGGCATTTTGCCCCCCCCTGTGGTTTTTCCTGAATAGCAAGAAAACGGCGGCGCGCAGCGCCGCCAAATTTTCAGTACCTTCCCGGGCATCAATTTGACACCTTCACACCAAATTTCAAGTCTTAGGTCACCTTAGGTCAGGAGTTATTGAGGTCAAACTGAGGTCATGTTCGAGCAAAAATGAGCAAAAAACATGCAATCTTGAAACGCTCACCAAATCTACAGTTATCAAGCAATTTCAAAGTTCTTTATATGGTCTAGTAGACAAAAAGCGGCGCTACAAAACTGCTATCTCGGATTTTCAAAATTTTTGGTTTTTGACCCAAAAAATCAAATAATTGATTTTTTTAGAAAAACTTTGAAAAAATCCAAAATTTTTCCGAATTTCGGAAAAACCGGAATATATGTGATAGTCCCAGCGCTCTTCTATATACATACCAAATTTCAGATCGATATCTCGTTTTTTGGCCAAGTTATAGCGAAAAAAAACTGTTCAAAAATGATGACGTCAAATTTTTGAACTCAATTTTTAGCAATTCTAGACCACGTACGGCAAAACAATGACCACCATTGAACTCCCCGTGACGAGCTGCATCGATTCGATACCCATTTTATGCAAAAATATTAACTTTGAAATTTGACCTAATTTGACCTGACCTTGACCTGACCTTGACCTGACCTTGACCTGACCTTCACCAAAACGTGATCTAAGCTGGCCCCAAAGGCTGCCTGACCCATATAATCGCATTTGTCATGTAAAATGGATCATAAAACATGTATCACACGACACTTTCATATTGTGACCCCCACCTCTGTGACCTGACCTGGTATCAGTGACCTCAAATAGCAAAATATGTGTTTGAAGAACATTTCCCCATCGATGATTTTCAATGAAATGCATTTTACTCGATTTTACAACGCATTTCTTGAAGTGCCTGTAAACGGTGAAAAGTGGACCTTTGACCTGACCTGTGACGTCATCGATTTGACCTAGGTCAATAAAATTGGGTCACAAGGTAGTTCCCCGTTGGGGCTATCCAACGCCGTTTACCGCTTGTCGCTATGTTGCGTGGTTCTCGAGATCTTAGGGGGGGGGGCCAAAATGGCCCCCCCCCCAACCGGGCGCGTTGCTCGGCAGAGCCCAACGGGGCGCGGGTTAATATTGGTGCTATTTTTTTTTTACCTCAGGTCAATTTTCAAGGTCAGAGGTCCAGGTCAAAAGCAAAAAACAGCACGTGTGTAGTGATCTCAAACGAAGTGTTCCAAAGGACAGGAGGATACATGAAATGGGTTGAAATAGGTGGGAAACGACAGTGGAGAATTTAACCCGCGCCCCACTGGGGTCTGCGTATAACACGCCCTACTGGGGGGGGGGGGGGGCTATTCATAGCCCCCCTCCTAACTCCGAAACTACTGGGCCGATCGTCAAAATTCAAACGGCGTCTGATAGTCCCGGAAAAACTGTCGAGCGAAACCTAATTTCATTGACCTCGAGGTCACCGATGACGTCACAGGTCAGGTCAAAGTAAAAATTATTAGCATTTTGGCTTGTTCACGTTTTGGGCTCTGGCCGCCGACTTACAAGTCAGATCAGGCTCATTTTTGGTTCACACACTCGTGAACAGATGCTCTAGATACTCTGAGGGTACCAAACTTGTACTTTGATTTTCAGGTCAAGGTCAGGTCATCACAGGTCACGAAAATATTATATCATCCATCGGTCACGTGACACATGTTTTATGGTCCATTTAGGTCAGAGATTTCGAATTTGATGTCGTCTGTGTCATTCGAGATCATTTTGAGTCAAATTTAGCTCAGGTCAGGTCACTTTCAGGTCAAAAAAGGTCAAATTTTGAAGTTAAAATTTTTCAACAAAAAAGGTGTCTATTGGATGCAGTTTGAGCTCAGGAACACGATGGTGCTATTTATATTGGCGTACGATGTCAAATTAATGCTGAAAAATTGATTTGAAAAATTAATAATTGTTAGTTTTTTGCAATAATGCGTATAACTTGGCCATTTTTGAAGATATTTAGCTAAAACTTGCTAGAGTTAGTCATAATAATGCGTTCTATCACATATATTCAGGTTTTTTCGAAAAGTCAAAAAATTTTCGAAAAAAATGTAAAAATATAAATTTTGAGTTTTATTATATAACATTTTCGAAATTTTTAAAATTTTGAAAATCCGAGATAGCAGTTTGATAGCGCAGTCTATTCTGAGTCCTCTCATGCAAAGAAATTGGATCTAGCTTAAAAACTGAGCTCTTGGGAACGATTGCCGCGGTTCAATGTTTTGCGTCGAAATCGGCCGAACATGACGTCACTCTGACGTCATTTACGGCCGACCTATGGTAGGTACGAAGTTCAAATTTTCACACAAGGTGTCAAATTGATGCAGCCGAAGGTACTGAAAGTTTGGCGTCGATACGTCAAGCGGTTTGGAAGTTATTGCAGAAAAACGAGAGGGAGGGGGGGCTATAAATAGCCCCCCCCAGTGGGGCGCGGGTTAAGGAATCTGATGATGTGCTTTAACTTCGAGGTCAAGGTCAAGGGCATGATCAAAACTGACTTAATACTTCTTCGTATATCCTGCACAATAATTTTCAAAATGTTTTGAAATATTTTGAAGGTTATCAGGCACCTATTTGTGGTTTATGTTACGATAAAAGGCTGCCCAGGGTCAAGGTCAGGCAAGAGTATCCTTGCTAGAGGCTATTTCACTTACGCAAGGCAGCCATTATAATTCAGCGATTTTTACTATCCTGTCGATCTAAATGGATGCCTAGCGCAAAATAGGTGCCAGCTTTTAATCAGCGGCTACGGATACATCATACAACACCTTTCATGTGCCAAGGTCAACCAAAGGTCATTCGAGGTCACAAGAGGTCAGCCTAAAAGTTGACCTCTTCTAAACAAAATATGTGTCATCTGACGCATCTTGACAAGACAAATACGTTGTACTTACCACTGTCTTAGCTCTAGGACCATTTTTGTTGAAGTTATTTGCAAAAAAAAAAAAACTGAAATACCAGCTCGGAGTCATTGACCTGACCTTTGACCTCAGGTCGCCTAAGTCATTATGTTTGTATTCTTACCAAAAACATATGCTGCACAACCGTACTCGAAATTCGTCTTAATCTCTTTAGCTCTATTTTTGGCAGCTGTTTGAAGTTCACGTCTGTGATGTTGAAATTTGCGCGGTGCAGAGGTGTCAGAGGTCTAGGAAAATCGACCTTGAGACGTCATTAAGGGGCTGGGTCCATTTTTTTTTTTGCTCCAGAAGATGTGAATTTGATGGGGAAGAAGATACTGAAAGTTTAGAGCTTCTATCCCTAAGCGCTCGGGAGCTTATATTCGTGAGGGGGGGGGGGGGCTAAATATTGTCCCCCGGGCCCGCGAGGCTTAACTAAAACTGCACTGCTCCTAAAATGTTACAAGCGTATTGTAAAATATTTTTGAATAGCTTTCTAGCGCAGTTAGCCACATAAAAAGTCACACAGGAGCAAAGTTGGAGACCAGAGCGTTTCATCGCTCATTAGAAGTGAATATCGGCTAATTACCGGACGGTTTGACTGTTCTGCTGGCTCATCGGATGCCGCTATCTGTGAAACTAAATTCCGCATGCTTTTTATCACGGCACATTTCCGTAAAGTGACAAAACTCAAGAGCTGCAGTCATTAAACATGAAAAACAATAGTGCCTACTGCCTTCAGCAATGCTACGATAGCATATAATCATCACGACGTGAAAATATGCCTCACGTTTCATAAATCCATAAATTACTGATCATTCTTCGTTAATCCCATTGTTTTTCTGACTGTATCGTAGCCCACACCCGCTACATTATTCAGCGAATCAAGGCGTTGTGCGTGGGTCGGTGGCCGTAGTGGCCACAATCTTACGGTGGGCAGGCGGCAAATCAGGCCGGTATTTGGCCAAACAGCCAGACTGACACGTGATGGCAACGGCGCTGAATCGATGCCCGCTGCCTGGTGACGGGCGTAACGGAGGCAGTCACCAGTCGCGCCCACCGTCACCTCCCGACACCAGCACCAGTGACGCAGCGGGGGCGAACTCGGCGCAGGCGGTTGCTGAATCAGAGCAAGCGCTGGAAGAAAGCTGGGCAAGCGGTGAACAGAGTTTGTCAAGGCATCGAAGTCTTTGAAACACTGGACGGAATCAGAAATCTGGACGTCAATTGTTCGCCCACTGAAAGACGGTGACGCCCGCTGTGCACCCGTTGACGCACGTTATAACGCACGGTGCGTGCTCGTCAATTGGAAACAAGAAGGGTCGAGAGTTTATCCTGATCGTGTTGTGTGTTCAGACGCAGTGGGTTGATGCCACCAAGCAGTGGTGTGAATTCAGCAAATCGAGCGCTGTTTGTAAACACCCAACCACGAGTGAACGTTTGGAGAAGAGCTGTTTTCGGACTGCTCAGAGGGATATCTGATTCTGGTCATCATTGCTTTTCGCTCATCCTCCTCTTAGTCTAATTGAGGAGACTTGCAGCGGCAGAAAGGAGGGACATGTCATCTGGTATGTGTTACTCGTGTGTCTCGGTATTACAGAGTACAGAATTACAGGTATTACAGAATTTGAAACAGCGATGTACAATTCACGCAATACATCCTAACGAACAAGGATGAAACAGCTAGCCTTGAATTATGATTGAATTATAACTAGGTGTGCTGGATACACGTTGGAATGACTTATAAAGCATCGTACAAAGCCCTCATCATGTTGACATCTGCAATTTCCCATACCTGCTACATTGCATGATTAAATCGAAACATCCAGGCATTTAAACGGCACGTGCACTGTACCACACTTTTCAAAGTTTAATGCAATGCTTTAACCCTCGCCCGTATAGGGGGGGTCGAACGGACCCCCCATGGTTTTTCGCGAATAACTCGCGTAAAAAGCGGCCGATCGCAACGAAACTTTCAGTACCCTCGCGTTAATCAATTTTACACCTACCCTAAAAATTTCATGACCCTGACCCCAATGACCTTTGACCTGTGACCTACTTTTCGAGACCATGTTTGGCCGGAATCGCGATTCGGCGTATGTCGGCTCGCATTAGCCGCGCGTTTGCAGTCTTTTCGTGGTTTCAAGCGTTCAAACATGTGATATGATGTTGCCCCGTGCATTAGGGTGGGTGTCAAGGTCACCTGAAGGTCAGGTCAGGTCATTGACCTTTGGTGACCTCGGTTCACTTTTTCGAGTTTTACATGTTTCTAGGCCAGTTTTTGGGGCTGAATTCGAATTTAGCAACCATATGAACATTTACGAAGTAGTTTTGGTGCCTTAGTAACATGTTACGAAGCTGTCAGAGGCGGTTGACACCTACTAGGAATACCCGGCAGGACCCCTACTGGTTGACCTGACCTGACCTGACCCGACCTGGACTAAATGCATAAAGACATCATCTGTGATCAAAACTAACATGATATTCGTGATCAGCGCCCCAAAAAACCCCATAGCAGCCACACTTTACGACGTTCTAACAGGTTCCGATTTTCCCGACTTTTGGGTCATTGACCTGACCTGCAAGGTCAACCAATGACCTATGACCTTAAAATTAGGTATCATCGGCTTCCTCTCGTCATGGGCAACACGCTCGTTTTTTCCGCGAAGCTCTAGCTCGATCAGGGGCGAAACGGCAAGGGGGGGTCCAACGGACCCCCCCCCCCCTTATCGTTCGCGGCTGGAAAAACACCAATACGGGCGAGGGTTAACCCTCGCCCGTAAACGGCGATCTGCCACCTTCGCCCATGCAGGGGGGGGGGGGTTGGTGCGACCCCCCCTTGGCGTTTGAAAACGGAGCGTCGTAGAGCTTAGCGGAAAAGACCAACGGATTGCTCTCGCCGAGATCTCGCGATTGGTGGTATATTTTTTGGTCCTAGGTCAACATTTGACCTACTTTTGACCGGTCAAAGGTCAAATTTTCGGAAAAATAGACTTTTTCAAATTTTCCGCGGCGATTGCGGCAAAACGGTGGGAGATATTGACTTTAAACCTTCACTATCGTGTTCCTTGATCAATTCTCTATCGTTTGGTATGTATTTCGTTTCCCTAGCTCTAAAAATGGCGCGTTGGGAGCGCCGGAAGTCGGCAAGGTCACAGTCGGCGGCAGAAATTCGAAAAATCAAAATTTAAATTTTTGAAATCTGATTGTATTTTTGGATTTGGGATGTCCATTTGCTCCCTATAGAAGCTAATATTGCTGCATATTCCCATTGAGGTGACAAGAATTAGCAAAATAGTGGTTCGGGCGCTTTTCAAAATAGTACCGGACGCTGTTCCTCTTGTGACGTCATAGCTCCGTGACCTGACCTGACCCGGTCAAGTTTCTTATACCATATGATAGCCAATACTTGCCCCAACATGCATGGGAAGTTTCATCACGATCCATCAACCGATGTCCGTACCACCGGCAGGAAACCTCGGGCGTTGGCACTCAGTTTGTGAAAATCCGGCCGGAGGCTGTTCCCTTTGTGACGTCATAACTCCGTGACCTGACATGACCCGGTCAATTTTTTTTTTTATAAAAAGATGCGCAAGGTTTGCCCCATAAGGTACCCAAAATTTGGCGGCGCTGCGCGCCGCCGTTTTTGCACTATTCCCGAAAAACCTCAGCGGGGGTTGCACCAACCCCCCCCCTACATGGGCGAGGGTTAATATTACCAGCCGTGTGGTTCAAGGGTTGTGGTTAAACATGTTGAACCACACGGCTGCTGACGTCACTATCATATAGTTGTGAGCTTTTGGCAGGGGGAAACACTTTCCAGCCCTAAGGCCGGGAATTCAATAAATGTCACCTCGCTTTTTTTAGCAAAATCACCTCGGGCCTAACGGCCCTCGGAGTTTTTGCTAAAAAAACCTCGGTGACATTTATTGAATCATCCCGGCCCCGGGCAGGAATATATTATCCCACACCATTGTAGTTACAGAGTATGCAGCAATAATGCAGCTAAGCTTTACAAAACCGTGATAACTTATTCTATCCCCAGGCAAGAAATAAAACATTCATGTTCGCTAGTTTGTATGCATTACATATATATGTTAGGTACTTATACAGAGCATGCTTTAAAAGTTGAAATTAAGGGTGCAACGGACATCGTTTAAATACATACAAAAACATAATAACTTCTTTCGTTTTATTATCGTTTATAACGTGTTTTCTGTTGTATTTATAGCACTGTACTATGCTTGTAAAAAGGAAAGCAAAGGACGTCGAATGGCTCGGCATCAACATGGGATTCTTATGATGGTCCACGACAGTAAGGTTTTGATGCAGTTGCTCGATGTTCGTATAAAAACATACATAAAAAGCTATTTCATGCTTTTATATTATACGACAAGAGTGACCCAAAACATGGTCAGCTACTTAGTCATACGTTCCAACTTCCAATGGAGTCTGTACATTTGTTCAAGCATAGTTAATCTTAGCTCATGATTGACGAGGGTCCGTGCTAACGTCGCACGACGGCGTGACTTATCCCTCGCATGTGTGCGGCGTTTGCCAGCTTCTAATGTGTAGGGGGGGGGGGGGTCGGTTGGACCCCCCCCCCCTTGCCGTTTGGCCCCTGATCGAGCTAGAGCTTCGCGGAAAAACGAGCGTGTTGCCCGTGACGAGAGGAAGCCGATGATACCCAATTTTAAGGTCCTAGGTCATTGGTTGACCTTCCAGGTCAGGTCAATGACCCAAAGTCGGGAAAATCGGGACCTGTTAGAAAGTCGTAAAGTGTGGCTGCTAAGGGGTTTTTCGGGGTGCTGATCACGAATATCGTGTTAGTTTTGATCACAGATGATGTCTTGAAGCATTTAGACCAGGTCGGGTCAGGTCAGGTCAGGTCAACCAGTAGGCGTCGTGACGGGTATTCGTAGTACGTGTCAACCGCCTCTGACAGTTTCGTAACATGTTACGAAGTCACCAAAACTACTTCGTAAATGTTCAAATGGTTGCTAAATTCGAATTCAGCTCCAAAAAACTAGCCTAGAAACATGTAAAACTCGAAAAAGTGACCCGAGGTCACCCGAGGTCACCAAAGGTCAATGACCTGACCTGACCTTCAGGTGACCTTGACACACACGGGAGTAACATCAAATCACATGTTTTAACGTTTGAAACCACGAAAAGCTTGCAAACACGCGGCTAGTGTGAGCCGACATACGCGAAATCGCGATTCCGGCCAAACATGGTCTCGGAAAAGAGGTCACAGGTCAAAGGTCATTTGGGTCAGGGTCATGAAATTTTCAGGGTAGGTGTAAAATTGATCAATGCGAGGGTACTGAAAGTTTCGTCGCGATCGGCCGCTTTTTACGCGAGTTATTCGCGAAAAACCATGGGGGGGGTCCATCCGACCCCCCCCCTACACATGCGAGGGTTATTCTTGTAGTAATACTCAAGCTACGAGGTGTAAGCAGTTTTCGTATTCACGTTCATGGTGCTCCGATTCCTTATAATGATCCATATTCCTCACTACCTTGTGTGCGCATATATCAACCCATGGAATTCTTACTTGATTTGCATTCGAACCAATCACTAGATCGACAGCTCAAAGCTCAGAATTAGAATTGCAAAGCTGCTTGAAGCACCTTTGTACTGCGCGATTACCGTATGATATCTTCTACGAACCTACGACAGGTACATACAAAAGCTGGAGGTGCCGTGCGTTGAACATCGCTTCATGGGACTGAGAGTGGTTCATTTAGACAGCCTGCATCGTAATGCCTAATAACACGGTAGTAGATTAGAAGGTTTCTCCCATTTCACTGAAGTTAGTCGATCGAACTAGCCATTACAAGTCATTAGATGTCGTTCACCACTCAGACTGAAATAAACTCTCATAATACCGTAAAATGAGAGATAGCCGAATATTTCACCAGGAACAAGCTCATTATTCCTTGCTAGCAGAAATAGGCAATAGGAATACCAAGAGGGTTTAGGCAGTCAAAAACAGCTGAAATAAATTTATTGCAAAAACACTTTTGAACGAACCACTCGTACACTATAAATGAATGAATATACCACGATAAATTTTGTTCGAAGATAGCAGCCAAAATGACGGAAAGGCATACAACCAAAATACATACAACCTTCATTTCTGTCTGCCTTCATCACTAAATATGGATGACCTCTCGCTTTTGCTTCAATGTGAATCAAAAGCGAGAATGTCATTATATATTTGGTTCGAATATGCCACCCCGAAACCGGTGTCTATGTATGTATAACGCTGTGTATCGTGTTTTGGCAGATACTCGTGTCTTTGACCTGACCAATCGCCACATGGGAATGATGGACAACACTCCTGGATTCTCGATGGAGGAGCGGGACCCCAACAACATCAACCTGCATCTCCAGGTCAGTGGGCGTCGGCTCAAAATAATAATATTCAATTGTACCTTCATTGAAGTGGAAACCTGCAGACGATGACACATAATTTGCATTAATATAGTGCACCTGGATCTGAGTGCTATAAATCTATTGTCATAAGATATTGCTGAAATATATGAATATATTAATTTATCGCAAAACGGAGACAGCACAAACCGTCGCATATCGACAGGGGTCTGCGGTAGTTTCTTAGACATATAATTGTTAAAAGGCTTTATATTTAAGTGCTCCTGTATTTTCATTGCTGCCATGTCTATCTGTGAGCTTAGGCAGCTTGCATCTTTTCAGCCACTAATAGACATCCGGTTGTCGGTGACGCAGGCTTCTGAGTATCTCCATTATCCTCAGTTTACTGGAAACTTCTGCACCAGATTGTCCCGTTGCTAGACACACATTTAGGATCGCTAAGCAGCACAGACACGCTAAATGTCACTGCTTGAAATAGCAACTTGATCTAAGGCATAACTGAAACTAATTTCCCGACTGCCTTGTAATCTGACATTGCAAACATCCTGCATTCAAACTTCAGTCAGTTAAAGAAATTGAGCTTTGAATAACTTTGTAGTGCGTGGGCTTATTTGACCTTGGGTGAAGTACTTGAAATGATCTCAATAATGTTTGGCCTATCGCGCTGTATTCTGAGCGCTGGTATTGTTAGAGCCACTGCAAACCGAGCCAGCACGATTGTTGAGTTTTATTCGAGGAATTTGAATTACCACCGACAATGTAAGACTCTGACGTCAATACATATTGGTGAGGCTGTGCTACGAGGACCCTAGGGAAAGCAGTGAATCCCAAGCCGGAGATGACACACTGCTTAGAAATTGAGAGCCAATGACGCAAATTGATCCAAATTTGTATGACACTCTTTGTATCTTTTTTGCCTTTGCGGTCTTTGCTTAATCACAGCTATAGAAAGCTCCCAGTTTTCTGACACAAATTATACAATAGCAAAGCAATGGCCATTTATCTCACACTACTATAGTTCCTCTACCTATACCTTAGCTCATGCATTTATTCTGGCATGATATTCACGGGATAGAAAAGTCGACCAATAGGGAAATCAATCCAGCAGCTGTTTTTTTATTTTCTTGGTTGTTCAAACCAATCCATTGCTACTCAGTTTCACATTCACACACCTTCCCATATCTACTTTGTGGTTTAATTTTGGAGGCATTTCACGCTGTTGAATCAGCCACATGTTTCTGACACTTCGCCGAGACGGACCACGCGACGGGTCACAATTCAACACTACAACCTCAACCAAGAGTCGTTACATTACTTCATCACCTAACAACATGTATGACGTCACTGTAGGTGATGTGGGATGACGTCATCGCCGAGCCAGAGGGTATCGCCAGCAGAGACTGCACGTGGCGCACATCCTACAAGTGTTTCCGCGGCGCCAAGCACTGCTGCTACCGGTTCTTGGCGTGCCTGCTCGGACCGTGTCTGGCCTGCTGTCTCGGCTGCCAGTTCGCCTGCCTGGCGTTCCAGGTGAGAACTGGTGACGTCATTCGTGACGTCAGTGGTCCACTGACGCTGTCCTGATGACGCTGCTGTTGGTAGTGTGAAAAAGTGGTCGGTTGTTGTGTCGTTGGGAAGGTTTTTTTCTGTGGTTGATGGGTCGTGTGCCTGCACCGAACAGTCGGGGCGGGACACGTGGGAACAATGCATGTCTGGAAGGTGAATTATGGGTGTCTATGTACTCTCTAGGGTGTGATTTTGTTCGCGTGATTGTCAGGGGCAGTGATATATTCCAGTCTTGCATGACATGGTGTTTACGATGAGGCAGAAGTACAGGCTATACGGCCGACCTTCAATGGCATCCATTGTAAATCCCCTGCATGACGAACATGCAACGCCTATAATTCGATTATATTCTAGACTTTGTATGTTGAAATAGCAATTTGAAAACGACCGCATTTGCCTCGGATAGACAGCGCCTTAGCAGAAAAAGGGCTTAAAAGTACAGTATTTTATTATGTTAAATTTTCAATGCTTAATTAGGCAATATGATAAAATAATTTAGTGCAGTTCAACTACGATGTTGATGACTGACACTGCTCCATCTTGCAGCACATCTGGTGCAACACGCCGTGCCTGCGCCAGTGCAAGATCAACTGCAACTTCATCCGGGCTCTGAACCGCGTCTGCGCCGGCGCCATCCTGGCCCCCTGCTTCGACGTGTGCGGCACGATGTTCCAGAGGATCCGCGTACGTCACGGACCCATGTCCGAAGAAGACACCAAGGAACAGGACCTATTTACGGTCTAGTTCAGACGTGAACTGACGGAAAAACAGAGCATTCGACAGAGTTTGGTTAATTCCTGTGGTCTCTTTTGCTCTTGGATCACCACTCTGTTGCTTCTCTGCCGTATTTAGGAACAACAAAAGAGGCTCGCCTTGTGGCGTAGTATATAAGTCATCCGATGTGAGTTTATCTTCGGGTGCTTAAACTAGAAAAGCTAAAAAAAATTTAGGTGTCCGTTTTCCGTTGTGGTTGGGGAGCCATTGAAAAGAGGTAAGATGGGGTGTCATTTTGTGTTCAATGCAGCGTTCATAAATAGGACATGAACAGTAAGGTCTGGGCATAGTGCAATGAATAACGCGGTTAAATAGTTATTTACCACACTATGGTATGGGCATGAAACAGACTTTGAATGTAACATCACTAGATGGATATAAACAATGCCCGTGATTGCTGATTATGTGTGTAGTGTGCGTTCTCTTCTCATTATCAATGCAATACTTTATTCTTGTATTGCCTGCATGTAAGAACGAATTTAGCCAGGACAGGTCTTGGCGTTTAAAATCACTGCGATACAGTTTTTGCATTGTATATCCCAGTTTCATGGGTAACTAAAAAGCGTTCACTGTTTGTAATTGGCAACAATTTGATCTAGTTGCTAGCTGTTCTTACCGGTAGCACGGATTCGCCTTCAGCTCTACTTATCGTGTTGTGGATTTGCCTTGGCTAGCTTGGCAGCAATAATAACACATATCATTCCATGGCTTGTGCAGCATGCTATGCAGCTTGCTTGCTTAGATGCTATACGTAATTAAATGTGTTTGATGCACCCTGCATTTAGTGCTGTGGTTACATGTATACATGTTTTCCCTGTGATAATACTGTCTAGTCCCTGCGCTCAGCGCTGTTATTAATTTCAACATTATACAATAAAGATCATCATTCGATGATGTTCATTATCAGTATTTTAACTCAATACTCAATAGCGTAATTTGTTTGGATAACGTACCATAAACATATCCTGCTAGTGTTGTTATGCATATAGTACGCTGTGTACGTCAATAAATATATGAAAATGCGTCACTGTTATGTTCACAGAGTTTGTCTGCCTAACCGGAACTTGATTAAATCCCTACCAAATGACTAAAGAGTTCTGTTCTTCCTGCTTATGCCTTTGATAGGAACAAGGATGCCAAGGATATCCACATTCTTCAATAAGTCTTCCTGCCTGGATTATGTAAAAACATGATTACAAATACAGGTGATCGTTGCTGACAATAAAAGTATGATTACAAATCAAAGTTACATTATAAGATTTACAAACAACGTTACAATGCCTGTTATGATGCCTGTTATGAAAGATAAAACATATTTCTTATATAACTTGAGGCACGTGTATTGGTCACCATGATTTACAACCAGGAACATACTTAAAAACTGCCTTGAAAAAATGTTGCAATGATTCATTACTATATGCCTACGTCAACTGTAAATTCAGAAAGAAAAACGTAACCTAACGTAACCTGTAACGTAACCTGTAAGGATTCACGATGGCAAGTCATCACTTAGGCCCGTCATACATCGCATACATGCTGAATAGTAAGACATAAAAATACTGCATCCAAACATCAGGTGTAGCACGGTGTTGAAAGTATCAGGCTTGTTATAATTCACGGCTCAGATTACCTATTTTATTCTGAGATAGTCTGGTTATGCTTCTGTAAATAAAACAAAAATATTTTACCCAATAATGATGACGCTTAAATACATTATTTTGAAAATAAATTTAGCTTGAATGATGAAATGTACGGATTGACAGAGCCGGGGCCCACGCTAAGCAGTGCTTGCTGCGCAGGCCCCGATCTCTACCGTCCGATCACGGGCTTCCAGCTAACTGGATACTTTAAATGTCAAAGGTTAACGGGCCAGCTCGATTTTTGCACAATATTTTTTTTTTCAAATTTGTAAAAAAAAAAGTAGCTGGAATGAGGAATTACAACAAGCCTTTGGACTGAAGAACACAGTATGAACTGTTTCATATTTTCGATTGTAAGCGGCAAGATGGTGAAGGTGACATGGAATTAACTTCACTAAACAATCACAATCACCGGCCTGACTGCCGACTGGCCTCGTGCGAGATACGACCTTACATGAATACTGAGACCAGTCTTTTGACAACAAATGGCCTTCCGGTCGAGGTTGAGTCCCAGATCGTCGTCACCCATCAAACGCTGTCACGCGACAGAAAATGGAACAAACTGGCGGTCAACCTTCGTCAGACACTGTACGACACAACCTAATTGCGCAAATGTAGCTAGGGAAGGTCATCAACGTCTAATAAATGTGTACTTTTTGCGTTTAGATTGATCAAATTTAAGTTTATTAGCACAACTTGACAAAATACAATATTTTTTAATGTAAGATGGATTTCAATTGTGTTTTCTGCTTAAAACTGCTCTGCAGATGTTTTCATAGCTCGTTCGGTCTTAGAGATGTTTTTGTATGTTAATTGTTTCCGAATTACGATATAACACAAGAAAGAAAATATAGCTATTTAGATACTCTAAATGATACATTTTGCGTCTGTCTGGTGCCAAACAAATGTGAAACAAAATTAATACAATTAAAAGTACTTTTCATGTCAAGTCACACCAATAAGTGGCATCCGCATGCCTTCCAAGTCATCTGTGGCCATATGTAGGTGATCTAAAATAATAAGGTATACAAACCAAAACAAGGACACAAGTGGGTGGAACAATTCAAGACTAAACATTCCATTACAAACCTGCTTTATTCCGGGGAGTATATTTTAATAAAAAAATGTGTACCCTCTTTCTATTCTTGTTTTGGTTCAAGTTCAAATATCTCATCATCACACTGATTTGACAACTAGGTGACTGAAATTTGGGTCATGGCTTTGATGGGTGTCATCTTTCGTGACCGTCGGGCTCATTAGCCACCTAGATATGTCTCCATTAGTGTTTGCCGCCGTCTACATGACCCTGTTAACATTACACACGTTACTTGGCTTGGCCACGCCTACGACTTTCCCACTTACGCCAGGATGCATTTCGGTGGCGGGCCGCGGCACTGGCCCATGGTGCACTTTCATTTTCATCCGCGGACATACTGGCCTGGTTTCGTTTTCGATGCTGGCCGGCTTCCTTCCGGCAACGAGAGGAGAAACCGACGTCTGTATCGCGGCGGCCATCGGAGATCGTCGACGGTCACCGAAAGCGTCGGCCCGTCTCTGCCGTGCCCGTGTGCGCTTATCCAGGCCATGCCAGATCACGCCATGTGTTGGTAATCTCAGTAGGTCGTCAGTGCAGATAGCGGACAGCCGGACAGAGCTTCAGCTTCCATTCACCAGGGCACAGCTCAGCCTTGCGTCAGAAAGCTCTCCGAGCCCAGCCGTCGGCGGCTGTCCAAGCCAGACATATGGTTGACCAACACCTTCGGTTATTCCTAAGAAGTGGCGGCTTGTCGCGACTGCTTACGGGGCGGGTTCACAGAGGGAGGTTGCACCGGGATGACGTCTCATGAGGACCACTCACGGCTGTGACCGGTCACTGTCCTATGACGCACGGTAGAAGGTCCGGCGGCACTCTCGGAACACGCTACTGCCGAAACGATGAATCGACGGTCGTAACGGGGTCGCCGCGATGGGAACAGACGACACACTGCAGCAGGCACCTCGGCGGTAGGGCGGAGGCTGCATTCCTTCTGAAAAAATGGTGATGCGATGCGGTAGAATCGCCTTTCTAGTCTGTAGAAATCGCAAGACACCGTGACTTGATGACTTGTCATGACCTGACAGTTTTGGTATAGGCATCATTTGAGATGAATAAGCCAAATGTATCGATTATCAGAACGTGGATGTACAAATCTCGTAAAACAGCCAAATATCTAAAGGAAAAGTTGTTTTTGTGTGTTGGGTTTTCAAGCCCTATCTGATGCCGGACCTGACCCAATCTCCAGCCGTGCGCAGTTCGCGGAATTTCCAGCGGCGTCGCTCTCGGCTCTCCAGTCAGCCTGTCTCGCCGAAACCGACGCAGTTGCGGACCGGTCGGCGCCGACAGGTGTGCCACATCGGTCGTCCGGGTACCGTCCTGGAGGGCGCCTATCGCGCTGACCATCGGACAGCCATGGCCGGCGGGCCGGCTCGACGGTATGACCCCGGAAGGCGCGGTCGGCCGCACGATTGGGGTCAGGCAGCGTACCGTTGGGCGCTGGACCCGGGAGAAGAAACTGCTCAAACGGCTCCCCCAGCCGAGCCGCTTCAGATGCGTGGCCAGATGCCCGTACAATGGGTGCGTTTTTATCGAAGTTTCATGGGAAACGGGGTCACAGTGTGGCCTGGAAGCCTTTCCACTGTCCGTCGGAGCTGGGCGCCGCGCTGTGTCGCAACATGAAGCTCTCGGCTTCTCTCTCTGGGCCCCGACGGTCAGCGGCTTTGGTTATGCCATGGGCTCACAGAGAAAGCTCAGCTCGGACGTATTTCTCATACACAATATGTTACGCAATGGGTGGCCCGTCTACGACTTTGAACTGATTCGATTGACGAGACTAACGGTCACTGATAGCTGCACGTACTGCACCTTATGCACCAGACAGGGGAAAGTAGCATGTTACCACACTAGGTAAAACAGAGAGGGCGCAAGGGACGAAAGAATAGTTAGAATGGGTGAACCAATGAAACACAACATTATTCATCTTCATTTGATTGGGCTCCTGTTAAATGATGATCAACACTTGAATAAAATACTTGGAAACGATGATACCATCGTTTTAATATTATATGCACTTAGCTGATGTACTTTTTTGTTCCAGGAAAACCTTCACGACGCCTTCGTAGGTCTTCATAATTGTATTGGTAGATTTGGCGTAGTTTCAAGGTCGACTCGTGACCTAACCGGAAAAGATGCTGCTGCATACCAGTCGATTCGTGTCGTTGAGCTGAGCACTCGAAATAAAAAAAAATAAATATATTTTCATCGCTCTAAAATATCTGTACCAAAAGTTGTTGTCGAAAAACTGCTCTGCTGATGATTTTTCATGGATGAAGATGACCTCAGATGTCTTAGGTGGGGTTATGAGTGTAATTTTGCGGTTAAATACGCAATATTTTCTTGTTACAATATGTTTTGGTGTGTTTAGAATGGCTTTCGTCCATAAACATTGTAGTTCAATTTTCATCCATTTGATTACCTATATGTAACAGTCAAGAGAGAGGCCGTACAAATGACTTGAATTTAGGTTGCCAATGTTGAAAATTTGAGATAAACGTTTTATAAATCCGGTCACCTACATACATCGCTGAAGTTTCAGAGCATTCCGTTATCACTGTAGCTGTGAAGAGCATGAACACTTTTTTAAGTGTTAACAAGTTGCTGGGGTATTTCGCCACCCACCTTTTGCTAGGGGGTGGGTGGGGTGAGGGGCTTCCCCGGGTCGTAAATGTTAACCCTCGCCGGGGGGTTGATGCAATTTCCCCGCCTAAGGTTTTCAGCAAATAACGTAAAAACAGCGCCGCGTAGAGCCGCCAGATTTGGCATACTCTCTGGGGCAACCTATTGGCACCTTCCCTGAAAATTTTAGGTCTCTGCCATTTCAGGTCAGGTCACCAGGTCACCAAAACCGGGACAATGTCGGGTAAAATTGGACTATAATAGCGGCAACGGAATCGCTGAGCTTATTGTTAATAGCGTAAGAACCGCAAGACTTATGTAGGGCCACCAAATTTCAGACACAACTTGGGGCATCCATTTGACACGTGACCTAGGAGTTTTGTGTTCCAGTGACCTAAGGTGAGGTCACAAGAAATACGCAGGTGTACTACTAGGGTGTTAACTGTTTAAACACCCCACCACGGTGCACGTTATTGCATCCATATACCCTAATTCCAGCAAAGGCAAACATTGAACTTCTTACGATACACTTGTGACATACCGGTATAATTAATTACAACTAATCCCTACTTTGGACGTCGTAATTATTTCACCAGGACCTGGTCAGACGTATTAGCTCCACCGGGCCACCTGTGTAGTTCTATAATTAGGAAACCAGTGGCGTCAGCCAGTGACAATGACATTCAGGCCAGAGTAGCGCCTCCACTTCCGCATAGCGAGCGAAAGGCGGCGTGGCGCG